TGTGTCCAGAGGAGGGCGACTAAAATGATCAAGGGTCTGGAGAACAAGCCTTATGAGGAGCGGCATCAAGAGCTGGGCATGTGAAGGCTGAGAGGAGATATGATAGCCATGTTTAAATATGTGAGAGGAAGTCACAGGGAGGAGGGAGCAAGCTTGTTTTCTGCTGTCCTGGCTTCAAACTACAAGAGAGGAGATTCCATCTGAACATTAGGAAGAACTTCCTGACTGTGAGAGCCGTTCAGCAGTGGAACTCTCTGCCCCGGAGTGTGGTGGAGGCTCCTTCTTTGGAAGCTTTTAAACAGAGGCTGGATGGCCATCTGTCAGGGGTGATTTGAATGCAATATTCCTGCTTCTTGGCAGGGGGTTGGACTGGATGGCCCAAGAGGTCTCTTCCAACTCTTTGATTCTATGATTCTATGATTAAGGCTGCTTTGCGAAGGTAGGTCAGCATCTCGGTGCAGCTACTGGAAATCCCTCTTTCACTTCCCCATCAATTGTGCTTCCATCATAGGATATAATACTAATATGATAATGATGGGGGCAATTGTATTCCTAGGAGAACAAATCAAAGGTCCATGGATCTATATTGTACACTTCCATTTGTAACTATAAAATGTATTAATTAATTGCTGTAATCATTGTTTTCTTTGTGTTGCAGGCATATTCGGTATATGATGAAGAAATTGGTTATTGTCAAGGACATTCCTTTCTTGCTGCTGTTTTGCTGTTGCATGTGAGTATACCATGAAGCCATTGCTGGGATGATACCACATTTGCTTTCCAAAGTGGAACTGTCTGCTTTCTATCGTCTGATTTGCTCCTGCAGAATACTGGGAAATGTAGTTTAGGGAAACTGAGGACCTCTCTGGCAAAGGCCCTGCCCTAAACCGCGTTTTCCAGTATTCTTCAGAAGCAAATCAGGCAACAGCAAAGTGGGCACCTCCACTTTAGGATGCTAGTGTGAAACAGTCTTTCTGATATTCCTAGCTTCAAATCTCTTCTTCCTGTTTAATCTTCTCTGCCTGATATGAGATTAGATCAGTAGTTTCTAAACTTTTTTTTTGACCAGGGACCACTTGACCAGGGACTACTCTCCAACATTAATGCCAGAAGGGTTACGAACAAGTTTTTGGTCAGCTTTAGATCTAGTTTAGTTATTTGTGGTGCTGATTCAGAAAATTGCATTGGATAGACCATATCAGCTCTAGTTTCTGATATAGAACATATGCCATCCAGTAGTTGCCATGTGCTCACCCACAAAAAACTATATTTAATAAGCCTCGGCACTATAAGGGGGATTTTGTGAAACCAGTAACTTTTGTGGCAATGGTGTAGTAACGGTGGGTCTGCTGACCATATTTTAGTTCTTGTGGACCACAGATTGGGAACCACTGGAATAGGTGTAACTGTCTGGTAAAAACTTGCCTGTGGGACCAAGCTTGCGGGACAGGGCAATAAAGTGGCAATAGGAAAGATGACCAGGCCAATTAGATTTGATGTGGATGATTAAGACGGTTTTAAATGGTGTGTTTTAATATTTTGATAAATGTTTTTTAATGTTTATGTATGTGTATGTGAATTTGTGTCCCGGCATTGAATGTTTGCTGTGTATATGCTGTGCTCCGCCCTGAGTCCCCTTCAGGGTGAGAAGGGCAGAATATAAATATTTTAAATAAATAAATAAAATAATAATTTTGTTCCAAATGCAACCAGATCAGGAATAATAAGCTCTTTAGTTAACTGGCATCTATTATCTTTTTTTCAGAAGGTAATCTTTGCCATCCTCTCCTTTTTAAAATAAATGTTGAATGGCCACCTTTTAGGAATACTTTGCTTGTGAATCGGGTTAGTCTAAATGGCTCTTCTGATCCCTTCCAACTCTCTGCTTCTGTGATGCTTCCCTTTTCTTTAGGTTAGAGCTTCAAGAGGCATAGGAAGGATTTCTTTGCTCAGAAAACAGGGCTGGACAAAATATGCACATGCTACCTCCAGGGCTCTAGTGCAGCCCTCCTTCATCTATTTTGGCAATTTTTATACATTTTTTTTTGGCTGAAAAACTCCCATTAGAGGCTGCGAGAGGCATATTTTCCACATCCCTCCTCACTTTTATTTTACAAGGGGTCTTGTTCTAAAACTGGAACAAAACTCACTTGCATATAAAATGGGTCAGGGCTCTCTCAGAACATAACAAAAGGGTTCCCCAGATCCAATAATTTCAAGCAGTAACTATTCTTTCAAAATTGTGGGGGTGGGGGGGGGTGGCCCTCTCAGTTCTGCAAGATGTGCTTATATCTGGGGCCCCTTCTACACTGCCATATAATCTAAATTATCAAAGCAGATAATCCACATCAGCTTTGAACTGGATTATATGAGTCTACACTGCCATATAATCCAGTTCAAAGCAGATAATCAGGATTTTATATGGCGGTGTAGAAGGGGCCTGGCATAGTTGCTTACATGTATAGTGGCATCTGACTTCTTTCCGGAAGAGAGGGAAGGAGGGAAGAAAGAACCTAAAAATAAAAAGCAAAGTCTTACAAGCACACGGACAACCCTCCCACAATTGGATGGTTGGTTTGTGGATTATTTATGAAGTTGGGTAATTTGTTTGTTTTTTATCTGTATCTCCCCCCCCCCCCCCCAATATTGATGGTTTTTTAGTGCATTTTCCCAGAATAATTGATGGTTTGCATTTACAATATCCATGTCCTGTATGTGACAAGTAGCCACAGCTTCTTGGCTACTTGTCACATACAACTTCTAAAAATCATACACAGATTTTTAGAAGCTGGATTTGGCTCCAACAAGTAAAAGAATCATGCACAGTAAACCTTTTTAGCGACTAATCTGAAGTAAAAAAAGCAATATAGGGATAGTAAATCAGTTTGTAATAATTGTAATTTTATATTTGGATCAGAGGGTTATGTTCCTAGGCAAGAGAAATCTCTGTGAAGTGCTGTAATCGGGTTCAGTGGAAGCACTAGTACAGTATAAGGCAAGAGTGCATGGATTCCTTCCATATGTGTTGTAGTACAACTCCCAGCCAGTGTAGATAATAAGGCAGTTGTAGTTTAACTCACTTGTAGATTCCAGATTCAGAAAAGCTGGCACAGAAATTTACTCCATGATGAAGGAAAAATGTTTTTTTATTTTCAAGAGTGAACATCTAAAAACAATATTTGTTGATGACTTTTGTACACTTGTTGCTCATACTTTTCTATGCCGAAATCATTGTAGAATTTAATAATTTAAAGATCTCGTGTTGTTCATTCAAATGGTGTTCATACAGATGCCCGAAGAACAAGCATTTTGTGTTTTGGTGAAGATCATGTATGAATACGGCCTGCGAGACCTCTATAAAAACAATTTAGAAGATCTCCGTGGTAAATTTTACCAGTTGGAAAGACTTATTCAGGTAGGATTGGATCACACATTTATCTTTATTTTCTAAAAACAAGCAAGTTCATGAAGGGGGTGTAAAAGCTCTACAACTGGTATGGGAAATAGAGTGTAGTGAGACATGTTATAACCAGTATATGTAGTGCAGTGGAGCTGCAGTAGTGCAGCGGATTAGAGAACTAGCTGCAGAAAATCTGCTGACTGACGGCTCAGCAGTTCAAAGCTGCGAGTTGGGGTAAGCTCCTGGCTGTCAGCCCTAGGTTCTGCCTACCTAGCAGTTCGAAAGCATGTAATGCGAGTAGATGCTACCTTGGCAGGGAGATAAAAGGGTGTCCCAAGCAGACATGCCAGCAACATGATCCAAGAAGTCTATGGACAACAGGCTCCACGCCATGGCAAAATGAAACAAGAGCACCTCCCTATGGCCGGAGATGAGCATTGCCTCCAGACGTTGGAGATGGAAGGGGAAGGCCTTTACCTCTGTGTATTGTATGTTGTTGTTCATTGTGTAAAAAGGCATTGAATATTTGCCTTATATACTGTATGTACTCAAGTATAAGCCTAGTTTTTCAACCCTTGTTTTAGGCTGAAAAAGTCCCCCCTCGGCTTATACTCGAGTCAAGGTTATTTATTATTTTACTCTGTCATTATTATTATTATTATTATTATTATTATTATTGCATTTATTATTTTACTCTATTTAATATTATTATAGTTATCATTTTACTTTATTATTACATTTATCATTTTATTTTATCAGTGTTATCATTAAATTTATTATTTTACTCTATGATTGTTATTATTCCATTTATTATTTCACTCTATTATTATTCCATGTATTAGTTTACTATCTTTATTATTATTGGAAGTATACGTAAGCACATTTACATTGAAGACGGTTAGGGCAGTCTTATCTTCAATTACAATTTTATATAAATATTCAAAAACATTTAACCTACTGATGCCTCAATTAATGTAATTTTATTGGTATCTATTTTCATTTTGAAATGTACCAGTAGCTTCTGAATTTTTCACCCTCGGCTTATACTTAAGTCAATCTGTTTTCCCAGTTTTGTGGTAAAATTGACTCGGCTTATATTCGGGTCGGCTTATACTCGAGTATATGCGGTATGTAAAATTGTAATCTGCTTTCAGTCCCTCCGGGGAGATAAGGTGGAATATAAACAAAGCGTATTGTTGTTGTTATTATTATTATTATTATTATTATTATTATTATTATTATTATTACATGTTCTTTATATAAGTTGTGCACATAAAATGCTAATTATCTGGATCTTAAAGAATTTATCATACGTACATTCATTTAAAAAATTAAACTATTTTAAGTTGATATCTTTTTTACATCCCTAGTTGCAGCCCTACTGAAGTATTCGCTGAAATTGTCCTGTTTCCTCAAATCTAATGCTCACCTTTTTTTGGCTAAATTATCTTGCCAATATTAGGGTGCACATTAGATTTGTGTAATACACAGTGCTTTTTTTCTTGTCAGGAGTGACTTGAGTAACTTCAAGTTGCTTCTGGTGTGCAAGAATTGGCTGTCTGCAAGGACGTTGCCCAGGGGATGCCCGGATGTTTTGATGTTTTACCATTCCTTGTGGGAGGCTTCTCTCATGTCCCCGCATGGGGAGCTGGAGCTGATAGAGGGAGCTCATCTGCGCTCTCCCCGGATTCAAACCTGCGACCTGTCAGTCTTCAGTCCCACTGCACCACTGGGGGCTCCTATACACAGCACTGAGCCAAAATAAAAGGGGAGGCTGCTTCAGGAGTACTTGGAGCTCCTATTTGAGGGATGTCATCTCTAATTTAATTTTCATGGCTCAATGCTATGCAATCCTGGGATTTGTAGTTTGGTGAGGCATCAGCATTCTCAAGACCTTGTGAAGCTACAGTCTTCTATGACCCCATAGCATTGAGCCCCATAGCATTTATAGATACACCTCAAGGGCTTCTTTTCCATTGATGGAAATTTTGGTGTTCTAACCCCTTTGTTTTAAAGAAGGGATTTTAAGCATGAAGCAAACGTAATGGCCAAATTACAAAGTGTACTTTTGCTGCTGAGCATTATGTTTAGCAGCAAATACTTTTGTTTTTGGTTTTAGTGTTTTGAAAATGGAGTGTGCATTACATTTGATGGTGAGTAGAGTCGAATAAATACGCCATTTCTTTCCTTGTCTGAAAATACTACAGCCTGAAGATTTCTTTCATATTTCATCAGTATCAATGGGACATGATAGAAATATTGAAAGCAATTCTTTTATATGCTGCCATTAAATACACTGTGGTGGGAGGAGGGCTACCATTTTAATGTACTTCTGTATGTTCCTTTTTCATGCTATTTATAATTAAGTTGAGTGAGCATTAGTCTCAATTGATACAAATGCCATATTTTACAAAAAGAGGTACTTAATGTAAGTGGTTTGAACTGATAAAGAACAAGAGAATACTTATTTTTCTCTTAAAACAGATTGGAAAAATTTAAGAACAATTGTCAAATGGAGGTTTTTGTTTTTTTTAAAGAATTAGGGGTGCACAGTTTGCAGTCTACATACAACCCCCTCCCCAAATCTCCCTCCACAAAGCACATCCTAGCACTATCACCAACAAGGTTACTACTTTGATGCAGCTAATGGTATGGGGAAGGGTAGGAGGAGAAAGTTCCATCTTCTGCATGGTGACTTGGAGATGGGGATAAAGAGTGAAACGATACAGTGGTGGTGGTGGTGGTGGTGAAGATTCAACAGTCCTAAGCTGCTTTCTCCATTCCAACCCCAATGATTTTGTGCACTGGGATAAGATCAAGGGTATACACTATTCAAACCTACCCACACACCCCTACCCCATATTCCACTCCCAAAGTTCCTGGTTTTACCTCCCCCGCTTCTTTCTCCTTTTTTTAAACATATTCTGTAAGGAAAAAAAATCTATATATATATATACACACACACACACACACACACACACATCCTTACACACACACACATACACATACATATATATATAGCAAGCTGAAATGTTTTGCTAATTCATTTATTAAATTCTGTTTGATATCTCTCTAGTAAATATATGGTTTGTAAATAATTAACTTTGTGTGTGTGGATTATACTGGGGTGGGTGCAGTAGTGTTTACCCTTTTTTCTCATATATATGTGTGTGTATGTATGTGTGTGTGTATATATATACACACACATACACACACATACACACACACACATCCTTACACACACACACACACACACACACACACACACACACACATATATATATATATACACAAAACATTTCAGCTTGCTTTCTCAAGTTACATTAAACAAAAATCCCATCATCAATGTAAGAATGTTGACAACATAAGATTTAAACTGCTAGCTTGGATGTAGCTCACTTTTTTGGGGGGTGGGAGGAGGAAAACATGTTTTGCTAATTCATTTATTAAGTTCTCCTTGGTAACCTCTCTAGTAAATACTGCATTCAATTCTAAGCTGCACTTTCCCCCTATATAAACATCTCTACAAATGGAGTATGCAATACAATTGCAGATGTGTCTTATGTATTTTTGTGGGTGGTGGTACTGAAATTAGGGTGTGTTCTGCAATCGGTGATGTCTTACAATTGAAGAAATATAGTATATATTTTTAGTAATTAACTCCGTATGTTTGTCCCCTTGGGAAGATAGGGCAGCCTATAAATAAAGTATTATTATTATTTGTGTGAATGTGTGTGTGTGTTTATTTATTTATTTATTTATTTATTTCTGCATTTGTTGACCGCCGCTCTCAGCCCTGGGGCGACTCGCGGTGGTGTACAACATATAAAAACAGTTTACAAAAAGCATACAATACATCGACATAACCATATTACCCATTAATCTAAATTACACTAACTAATCCGCATCGTCATAACATAGAATCATAGCCAATCTCATAATCCGTATTCCGTTCCAGTTGTCATTACCCGTTAATGTAGCACTCAGTTAAATGCCTTCTCGAATAGCCAGGTCTTTAGGCTCTTACGGAAAGCCATAAGGGAGGGCGCCTGTCTGATGTCAACAGGGAGGGTGTTCCACAGCCGGGGGGCCACCACCGAGAAGGCCCTCTCTCTCGTCCCCGCCAGACGTGCCTGAGAGGCAGGCGGGATCGAGAGAAGGGCCTCCCCAGATGATCTCAAGGCCCTCGTGGGCTCATAGGCCGAGATGCGGTCCGAAAGGTATTTTGGGCCGGAACCGTTTAGGGCTTTGTAGGATAACACCAGCACCTTAAATTGGGCCCGGTAGCAAATCGGCAGCCAGTGGAGCTGGGACAACAAGGGCGTTGTATGCTCCCTGCGTCCTGCTCCCGTTAGTAACATGGCTGCCGCGCGCTGGACTAGCTGAAGCTTCCGGGCCGTCTTCAAGGGCAGCCCCACGTGTTTATTATACTGGGGTGGGTGCAGCAGAGATTCTAATCTTGATCTAATTCTAGTTCTTTCTTATCACACACAAACTCCCATGTGTGCCTGTATCTGGGGGCTTGTACCTCTACTGTGCTCATGTGTGGCTCACCTTTCACCAACAATTTATTTATTTACACCATTTCTACCCTGCCCTTCCCACCCCCAAGGGGGGACTCAGGGTGGCTATCACAGGCAGCAATTCGATGCCACAATATCAGTAATACAATATAAAATCATAATACATAGCAGGTTAAAAACAGTAAGATTAATTAAAATCACATAGTTACACAATCATATAGTCACAAAGTCACATAGCCGTTTCCAATTGTCGTAACAGTCCTGTGGTCCGGGTTCTGTGTTTAAAGTGCTGCTGTGCCCACTAGCCAAAGGTCTGGCTCCAAAACCACGTTTTTAGTTTTTTCCTAAAAGAAAGGAGGGAGGACGCCGATCTGATCTCGCTGGGGAGCAAATTCCACAAACGGGGGGCCACCACTGAGAAGGCCCTGTCCCTCATCCCCAAAAGATGCGTTTGCGAAGGCGGTGGGACTGAGAGCAGGGCCTCCCCAGTAGATCTTTAATTATGAGGTGGAACATAGAGGGAGATTCGTTCGGACAAGTAAGCTGGGCCAGAGTAATGATGTGTTACTCAAAATGTTTGCACCACTCATGAAATATATGAAAACTGAACATTATAGATAGAAATGTTATTTTTATTAACACCTCATAGAGAATAATTTGCTCCATCTTTCTCTTCCACTGTCTACTCTAGGAGCAGTTGCCTGACCTGTATAATCATTTCTTGGAACAGAACCTGGAGGCTCATATGTACGCATCTCAGTGGTTTCTTACCCTCTTCACTGCCAAGTTCCCTCTCTGCATGGTTTTCCACATCATTGATTTACTCCTTTGTGAGGTAAAATAAAATCACATGCTGTTTAACAGTTTGACAAAGCATCAGTAATCTTCGATTTGATCCTCCTCAACAGATATGAACTAGTTAGTGGGTGGAAGCAGGAGAATCACTGGTTGGGAGTTACCATGTGCTCTTAGGATTTTTGATAGCAGGGGAAACGAGAAGTCAAATATAAACACATTCTTAGGAGTTTAATAAAGCTGATTTTAAAATGATTAGAAAAATGCTGACAGGAAACAGTGAGAAAACAACTGCTTAACTCCTTAGAATCCTAAAATTGGAAGAAACCACGGTTATCCAGTCCAACCAGCTCTTAATGTCTGGAAGTTCTTCATGTTTATGCTGTAATCTTGTTTCCTTCAATTTGAATCTATTGCTCCATGTTCAAGTCTCTAGAGCAGTGGTACACAACCTGTGGCCCTCCAGGTGTTTCGGACTCCAACTCCCAGAAGCCCTAGCCAGATTGTCCAATGGTCAGGAATTCTGAGATCTGAAACTTGCCCCCTTCTCAGTGTGACATCATTTTAGATATCTAAGCATGACTATCATATCCTCTCAGCCTTCTTTTCTGCAAGCTGAACATACCCAGTTTCCTCAATCATTTCTCAAAGGGCATGCTTTTGATAATTTTGGATGTCTTTCTCGGGACTCAAGTTAAGTTTGTGGTCTCCTGGATCCCTTTCACTTGGATTGTTTTCAAGCCAGGTGTCACCCATCCTATTATTTGTGCATTTAGTTCTTTCTGCCTTAACGTAGTACTCTACATTTTGCCCTGTTGAAAATCATTTTATTAATTTGGTATAGCTATCTAAACTGTTAAGGTCACATTGGGTTCTGATCCTGTTGTCTGGATATAAGCTATCCCTTCCAATTGGGTGTCATTGCAAATTTGATAAGCATCATCTAAGTCAGTGGTTCTCAACCTGTGGATCCCCAGGTGTTTTGGCCTACAACTCCCAGAAATCCCAGCCAGTTTATCAGTTGTTAGGATTTCTGGGTGTTGAAGGCCAAAACATCTGGGGACCCACAGGTTGAGAACCACTGATCTAAGTCATTGATAAATAACAACCCATTGATAAAGATGTTGAATAGCATTGGGTCCAGTACAGAACCCATTGGCACCACACTGGTCACTTCTTCCCAGGATCAAGAGGTGCCATTGGTAAACACACTTCGGTTTTCACCAGTTAACCAATTCATAATCCACCTAACAGCATTGTTTAGCGTTCTTTAACTCAGTCTTCTCGCAAAATTAAAACAGCCCAAAATAGGTAAGGAGCTAGTAAAGGAAAACATAGCTACAATAAATGAATTGAGGACTTTAGGGCTGAATGAACATCATCCTAGAACAGTGGTTCTCAATCTGTGGGCCCCCAGATGTTTTGGCCTTCAACTCCCAGAAATCATAACATTAATTTAGAGTAGAGTATTGTTCTAAAGGAATTTATAGATGTAATATCAGAGTCCACGGAGAATTCTTAGAGAAGAAGAGGTATCTCAGTTAATTGGATGAAGTCAAATGTTGTTCCCATCTTCAAAAATTGCAGAAAAGACAGGACCTAGTCAGCATGATGCAATACTGGGGGAGTTTCCAGAACAGAGAGTTAGTCCACACATTTAGAAAGTAATTCTGTTATTAAGGAGAAACATGGATTTTTCACAAAAAGTTGGATGGGATACAGTTATAAACTTGGTAGATTGGGGGTACTTGTGGATGTCATTTGTCTTGATTTCAGTAAGGCTTTTGACAAGATCCCCAATTATTTTCTTGCAGGCAAACTGATAAACTATGGACCACACAAAATGTTATAATTAAATGGATCTGTAATTGGTCTAAAGCATGTTCACCAATGGCTCTTCTTCATCCAGGAGAGAAGTGACTAGTATTCTGTTCTGGCCTCAGTGCTGTTTAACATCTTTATAAATGAATGATGAAATATGGGATATGCTTATGATATTTGCAAATGGCACCAAATTTATGGGGGTGGCAAATGCAGAAAAGGAACAGATTCAAAATCACCTTGACAGATTGGAGAGCAGGGCCTAAGCTAACAAAGTGAATTTCAACAGGGATGAGTGAGCTGTCAAAATTTAAGGCACAATTAAAGACCTATCTCTTCTGGAAGGCCTACGCAGTGAATTTTAAACTATGGATTTAAAATGTACATTCTGTTGGTATTGCATTTTAATATTTAACTGTATATTTTAATATGTGTATTTAATGGTATTGTAATTTATATGGGTGTTTTAACTGTGTGGTGCCCTGCTTTAAGACAAGAAGAAAGACGGGGCACAGTTAAAATTAACAACAACAACTACAACAACAATTGTTAGGTGCTACATCAAGGCAGAGAAAAAGAAATATGCAAATACATGGTGAATGGTGCTTAGCTTGAAATAATACATGTGAAAGGGATCTAGGAGTCTTAGGCCCCTTCTACTATATCCCAGGAACTGATCCCAGACTATCTGTCAGTAGAGACTCAAATAATTTAGTTTAAAGCAGATAATCTGGGATAAGATCCTGATTTATAGGGCAGTGTAGAAGGGGCRTTAATACACCACAAACAGAACATCAGTCAACCGTGTGGTGTGCTAATAATAATAATAATAATAATAATTATTATTATTATTATTATRATTATTATTATTATATWATATATAATAATAATTATAATAATCATGTTAAAAAACAAAGTATGGATCGTTGATATCGCAATCCCAGGTGACAGCAGGATTGCAGAGAAACAACAGGAAAAGCTGACACGATATGAGGATTTAAAGATCGAACTGCAAAGACTCTGGCACAAACCAGTAAAGGTGGTCCCAGTGGTGATCGGCACACTGGGTGCAGTGCCTAAAGACCTTGGKCTYCACTTAWACACAATRGGCYCTGACAAAATTACCATCTGCCAGRTGCAYAAGGCCACCTRACTGGGATCTGCARYCATTATTRGCCYATACATRACACAGTCCTAGACACTTGGGAAGTGTCTGACATGTGATCCAATACAACAGCCAGCAGAGTGTCTGCTGTGGACTCATCTTGTTGTGTTTCAAATAATAACAATAATAAATTTATTCTTMTATCGTGCCACCATCTCCCTAAGGGACTCAGGGCYGTTTACAKARGGCACAAGGTGCCTAAAATCAGAATCTAAATGAAAACAATTTAAAAATACAATTAAATACAACATATGGACATATAAAATAACAAGTAACACTCAATTAAAAACAGTGCTCATCAACCGATGGTGGTAAGCTACTATAAACATGGCCGGCCAAATAAGTCAATGCGATTATGTTCTGCATTAACAGGAGCACATGTTCTATATTTGGGGAAGTACAACTCTATTCTGTGTCCAGTTCTGGGCATCACAGCCCAAGAACGATGCCAACAACATGAAATGTATCCAGAAAAGATAAAACAATAAAAGATCTGGAAATCCAACTTTATCAGGAAACTGGGTTGTTGTAGCTTTTTCGGGCTATATGGCCATGTTCTAGAGGCATTCTCTCCTGACGTTTCACCTGCACCTGTGGCAAGCATCCTCAGAGGTAGTGAGGTCTGTTGGAACTAGGAAAATGGGTTTATATATATCTGTGGAATGACCAGGGTGCGACAAATAACTCTTGTCTGTTGGAGCTAGGTGTGAATGTTTCAACTGACCACCTTGATTAGCATTTGATGGCCTGGCAGTAGTTTGGTGTGGCTTGTTGGTGCCTGGGGCAATTTTTTATTGGGAAGTAATTAGATGTCCCTGGTTGTTCCCTCTCTGTTGTTTTGCTGTTGTAATTTTAGAATTTTTTAATACTGGTAGCCAGATTTTGTTCATTTATATGATTCCTCCTTTCTGTTGAAATTGTTCACATGCTTGTGGATTTCAATGGCTTCTCTGTGTAGTCTGACATGGTGGTTGTTAGAGTGGTCCAGCATTTCTCAAATAATATGCTGTGTCCATGTTCATGAGGTGCTCTGCTATGGCTGACTTCTCTGGTTGACTTAGTCTGTAGTGCCTTTCATGTTCCTTGATTCGTGTTTGGGCAATGCTGCGTTTGGTGGTCCCTATGTAGACTTGTCCACAGCTGCATGGTATACAGTAGACTCCTGCAGAAGTGAGAGGATCCCTCTTATCCTTTGCTGAACGTAGCATTTGTTGGATTTTCTTGGTGGGTCTGTAGATAGTTTGTATGTTGTGTTTCCTCATCAGCTTCCCTATGTGTTCAGTGGTTCCCTTGATGTATGGCAAGAACTCTCTGGTCATTCCACAGATATATAAACCCATTTTCCTAGTTCCAACAGACCTCACTACTTCTGAGGATGCTTGTCATAGATGCAGGCGAAACATCAGGAGAGAATGCCTCTAGAACATGGTCATATAGCCCAAAAAAACCTACCACAACCCAGTGATTCCGGCCATGAAAGCCTTCGACAATACATTTATCAGGAAAGATTTAGAGATCTGGTTATATTTAGCTTGGAGAAGAGAAAACCGAGAGAGGTGACATGATGGCAGCTGTTTGACATCTGGAGGGATATAATGTAGAAGATGAAGCATGTTTCTTTTGCTGTTTCAGAAACTAGAGTGCAAACCAATAAATTTATAAGAAAAGAATATGCACCTAAACATATATATTTTTTAAAAAAATCATTCTTATTGTAAGAGCTGGTTGACAGTGAAATAAACAAACTGCCATGGAGAATCAGAATGAGCTATTTTCATTCTATAGAGGTCTCTAAACAGGTTGAATAGGCATTGTTTAGGGGTGCTTTAGTTGCATATTTCTGAATGGCATGTGTTGGATGAAATGATCTTTGTGATACTTTTCAACTCATAAGATTCTATGATTCAATGAGATGACATGACTTTTTTTCCATGAGTGGAAAAAGCTCTGATGCTATGAAGACGCTTATTTATTTATCGTGTCATCAGCAACCAGACATTTGTATTACATATTTAACAAAAACAAACAAACAAACAGACAGACAAAACACAGAATTTGCAAGCTTGGTAGTTGATTACATGTCCTTTGACCAGTAGCTGGCCACTTGGAGTGCCCCTGGTGTTGCCGCAAGGAGGTCCTCCATTGTGCATGTGGCAGGGCTCAGGTTGCATTGCAGCAGGTGGTCAGTGGTTTGCTCTTCTCTACACTCGCATGTCATGGACTCCACTTTGTAGCCCCTTTTCTGAAGGTTGGCTCTGCATCTCGTGGTGCCAGAGCGCAGTCTGTTCAGTGCCTTCCAAGTTGCCCAGTTTTCTGTGTGCCCAGGGGGGAGTCTCTCATTTGGTATCAGCCATTGATTGAGGCTCTGGGTTTGTGCCTGCCACTTTTGGACTCTCGCTTGCTGGGGTATTCCAGCGAGTGTCTCTGTAGATCTTAGAAAACTATTTCTTGATTTAAGTTGCTGATGTGCTGGCTGATACCCAAGCAAGGGATGAGCTGGAGATGTCACTGCCTTGGTCCTTTCACTATTGGCTGCTACTTCCCGGTGGATGTCAGGTGGTGCAATACCGGCTAGACAGTGTAATTTCTCCAGTGGTGTAGGGCGCAGACACCCCGTGATAATGTGGCATGTCTCATTAAGAGCCACATCCACTGTTTTAGCGTGGTGAGATGTGTTCCACACCGGGCATGCATACTCAGTGCAAGGGCAGATGTCTTCACTGTGTCTGGTTGTGATCCCCAGGTTGTGCCAGTCAGCTTTCGTATGATATTGTTTCTAGCGCCCACTTTTTGCTTTATGTTCAGGCAGTGCTTCTGTAGGTCAGAGCACAGTCCAGAGTGACTCCCAGGTATTTGGGTGCGCTGCAATGCTCCAATGGGATTCCTTCCCAGGTGATCCTCAGAGCTCGGGATGCTTGTCTGTTCTTAAGGTGAAAGGCACATGTCTGTGTTTTAGATGGGTTGGGGTTCAGCTGGTTTCCCCTGTAATAGGCAGTAAGAGCACCTAGTGCTTCGGAGAGCTTCTATGAAGACACTAGGAAAAAGGAAAAACTATTACAGCTGAATTTATTCAGTGTAAGAAACTATGGTCCCAATTCTATAAGACCTGAGCAGGGATGTTGGTGACCAGGGTTCTTGAAGGTCTCATTCATGAGATCACTGGGAATTGAAGCCACTTTGACAGCAAATAAAAGAACAAAGCAAACTGTGATTAATGCGAATGAGCTTGTGTGTGTATGAAGGAGCTATCATGCCATCGCTTAGTTTGTCAGACCGACCTTTTCTCATTTAATATCTGCATAAAAATCAACTTCGTAATGTATCAGATTGGTTACAGTTGCATACTGAGCTGCAAGGAGTTTCATTACAGTTCTAGTCCTGACCTCTAGTGGATGAAATGCGGTTTTTGAATAATGTAATTATTAAGGATTATGGCCTTGTCAAAAGGTTATTTTTGTGCCTCTTTAGAATGTTTGATTTTTTTCAAAATCAGACTGCAGCCAGTGGCATTTGTAATTTACTAGGGCTGACGCTTAACAAAAGCTAACATTAAGTGCATGAGCGTCAGGCTCCCATGCTTACTTCTCCTATTGTATACTGCATTGATAACTTTCAAATCATAGAATTAAAATGATAGTTTGTGGTTCTATTTTCAGAGCATACAAATTATGATTATCCTCTATGTTGTAGATCGGCCTGAGGCTTCTGATGTTGATGGGTTCACTGATTATTTTGAGAGGATTGTGGGATTGCCTGTGGGATTTCCTGGGGCACGAAATGATGAAGATTCTAGTCAGGGGAACGATTCTTCTCTCTGTAAGAATCTGACTCGGAAAGTTCTGAGCTTCAAGGTCAGTCAGAGGAGCCAGAAACTGCAATATTAGATAAGGAGTTGGGCGAAGAGCTAAGTGATGCGGAAGGCTCCCAGGAAAAAACACCTGGAGCTGCAGAAATCAACAAAGATCTTTGTTTACAGATCAGAGCAGAAAATAGGCTTTACAGGTCAGAGCGATTGCTTGGCAAAGTTGTGGAGAGATTCATGGGTAACGGAATGTTTTCATGGGTGTCTATTAAATAGCAAGTTGTTGTGTCCCTCTTGTATTTGGACACATAATAACTTCTGTTAAATGTTAGTACTTGGAACCCTAAATTACTATTCTTTTCAATCAGCATGCATAATTTTTGGTATAATGTACCATTCCTAATTTACTAGTTCTAAATGTTATTGTAAGGCTGATTGATACAAGCAACAGATGAAGTATTAAGTCTGCCCCTAGACAATGGAACTTAAGAGGTGTCATTAAATTGTTTTTCAACTGTGTGCAGCATTGTAAAATATTTGGTTCTCATTTGCTAACTTTCCGTGCGGTAAGCACACTTTAGAAGAAAATTCTACATTTGCTTATTCACATCAATTAGTAACCTTGCATTTTCCTTTTATTAAACCAAAATGAGCTCACAAGGAATCCTCCTACAATGACAGTACTGGCAGTAAAGTTGTGTCTTGATATGTGCCTCTTTAAGAATGCTTGATATGTGCTTTTTATTTGTTTGTTTGTTTTGCAAAAATTACATAGGAAATATTGTATGCACCAATATGGTTTTCCTTGTAGGAAAATATTGAGCCACAAGACCCTCTGCTGTGAGTTTGAAGTAGTGACACCTCAGAACAGTTTTATAACTTGATTTGTAGTTTTATTAACTATGGCCCCTTCTACACTGCCATATAAAATCCAGATTATCAGATTTGAACTGGATTATATGGGAGTGTAGACTCATATAATACAGTTCAAAACAGATAATGTGGATTTTCTGCTTTGATAATCTGGATTATATGGCAGTATAGAAGGGACCTAAGATCCCTTTCTCACTGCTTCTATATCCCAGGATCCGATCCCATATTATATTCTTATTCCAGATTATCTGGCATTGGAGACTCATATAACCAAGTTTAAAGTAGATAATCTGGGATCATATCCAGTGTAGAAAGGGCCTAAGTCTGGGTTCAGGGAAAGTTTTTATTTCTCATGACAGAATTAGTAGTAATGTTTATTTAAAGCAAGATTTAATTTCTTTTTCTCTCTTTAGGGTCTGAATGTAATTTTTAACGTGGCTCTGGCTCTCCTAAAGGTAAGATTTAAGTGTTTATGTGTTATTGCAGTTGTAGTGTTGCTCTCACCAACCCTAGCACGTAACTCTAGGTTATTTGCTCAAGAAATCTATACTAACCTACACTAACCTTTATTTTGTTAATTACTCTGAAGTCAATTTCAATGTATTGTGACCTTATGAATGAGTTATTTAGTGTATAGTTTTTCAGTATATTGCTTGTATTGTCTTTTTATTTCTTCTTGATCGTATAGTTGTTTCCCTTCCTGGTCATACAGAATTCTTATTCTTGGTTTAAATTTCTCATTTATTTCCCATATCTTGTGGAAGAAATTTTTTGTTCTTCCTTTTCTGTAATCATCTTCTATTTCTTTGCACTGATAATTACTATAGTAGTTTTCCTTCTCCTTGTGCATAAGTCAATGAACAGTTGCATTCAGGCTTCTGACTCTTATTTCCATTCCCTTTTATTTTTGTTTCTTTTCTGTCCTTAACTGCTTGAAGAATTTCATCTGGCATGCATTGAAGCTATTTTTTGCTTTTGGCTGCAGATACTGTCTTTTTACATTTCACCCTGTTAATGTCCCAGGCTTCAGTCCAGAGGTCTTCTGGCTCCTAGTCAATCAAGGTTAATGGTGAAAATCTACTTTTTCATATTACCTTGACGTTTTACCTGGACATTCTTCAGGTTGTATTTTGGTACAATGATTTATTCAGTTGTGGGGTTGTTGTTTGTAGTCATATATATATATATATATATATATATATATATATATATATAAGCATTTTACAGCCTGTGCCACAAATTTCTTCTGGTCTTGGTTTTACAGAGAGACTTCAACTTGTTTGTCTTCTGCTTCCAATTATATAATCAATTTGATGTCCATATGTATAGTCAGCAGTTAATTCCTTGAATAATATATTTGTAATGAACAAACTGTTCGACTTTTAAAATTGTAGCTTCATTTCCTGATGCTAAAGAGAATTTTCCAACAATACTGTGTTCTATTCAGCTTCTTACTTTTGCATTCTATTCTCCTGTGATTAACAAGAAGTCCTGTTTTGGTGCGCAATAACTTCTCTTCTGGACTATAGCATAGAATCCTTGCCTGCTTTTGTTACATCTTTACTCACCATTAATGTTACCCGTTTCTTTTTTGATTTTTGGTTCCTGAATAACACTGACTCAAAATGGCACATTCCTGTCAACTTTAGCGCTCTCACCCCAAGTATTAAAATTTTAAAGTTCCATTTCTTGTTTTCCCATGCCCAACTTGTCCTGGTCCATTCTTCTTGCATTCCACGTTCCTATAGTATGCATTGCCTAGATCTGGACTTTCCTTTCACCTCTAAGCACATGAGCAACTAAATGTCCTTTTGGCTTAGGTACAGTTACATCACTAGCCAGAATGCTACTCATAGTTGTCCTCTGCAATACCCCAGTAGCTCATTGAGTGCTCTCCAGCATGAGAGTTTCATCTTTTGGCCCTATGTCTTGTTTCATTTTGGACTACCATGAGATTTTCGTGGTCAAAGGGGGTTTACTGTGCCTCCTTTTGTGTAGTAATAACACGCATTAGGTATGGTGGACCTACTGTTGTCTCTGAAAGTCCTCTGTCAGTATCAGAGGATTTTCGCGTTGCTTCTTCCAAGTTTGGCACATTTAGACTGGCACCTCAGCAAAGCCTCTCTGAGATGGGACACATTACCAGCAGTGCTGCTATCACGAGCATAGCCTCTTGCCTCACAGGAACCCACTGTCCCACCACTGTAGAAAGTTAGTGCAATCCTCATAGCTATTGGTTTTGTAAACCGAAAAGTTTACTAAAGCTTTCTTGCCTGGAGACCAATAGGTTTTTTCCCCATCCCACTAGAGTAGAAGTTACAAACCTGAGTCCACATTTCATAGATTGGAGCAATGTTTTTTGGGGTGTTGAATGCAGCAGTTACATCTCCCAGATTTCCCCCCCCCCATAGTTTTTTAGTGCCCCCATTTTGGGCTTTAAAAATACTTTTTGAATAACATTAGTTTTTTTAAAACACTGTTTTGTACCCCCTCAAACAAGAAAAGACCCCAAATCCCATTGATGTAATATAGCTTCTGGTGGACCAAAATGTTGGCTGTGCAATTGAAGTCCTTTGAGATATCTGAGGCACTCAAAATGGGCCTTGGAGGTTTCCTTTACCAGTTACACATGAAAATAGGTATGTGGGTAATCACGAAATTAGTTCTTTTAGAATTATTATAATAACATGGAAACAAGATTAACTTTTAGATTTTAAAAGTATTTCATCATGTCAATGGGTTTGAAAGTAGTTTATCACTCCTTTGAAAGTGATAAAGTATTGTTCATATCTGTCACTCTGGTGCCTGTTGGAGAGGAGTAATGAATAGTGACTCTGTGCTTACTTCTTGGCTTTGGTTGCCCATTGTAGAAGATAAACACTGCAGACAATGGTATTGTTTTTTCTGGATGATGACAGTGGGGAGCTTAGGCAGTTGAGTCTTGGTGGCCTTCTACTAGGATTATTGTGTTATTTTGACTAAAACAATTTGTGTGTGTGTTATGTTGGTGTCAGTGGTGAACAAGTGCATGTATTAGTACAGATTGAGCATCCCTAATCCGAGATGCTTGGGACCAGAAGTGTTTTGGATTTTATATTGGAATATCTTTATTTACATATACTTTACATATAAAATGAGATATCTTGGAGATGGGATCTAAATTCTAATCACAGTATTCATTTATGTTTCATACAAACCTTATGGATATAACTGTGAGATTAATGTTATACAGTATTAGTTATAATTTTGCACATTGAAACTCAGAATCATAGAATTGGAAGAGACCACCAGAGCTATCTAGTGTCAGGTGTAAATACACAATCAAGCAAAGTTTGTATACATTGAACGATCAGAAAACAAAGGTGTCAATATCCCCATCATAATTTTGGATTTTAAGTATTTGTGATTTTGGAATCCTGGATAAGAGATAATCAGCTTGAAGAGGAGTTGGATCTAAGCATTTTGCCATGTGACATGATAACAGAACTTTTTGAAGGATACCACTAGTATATGCTGTAGTTCACTACATAATAGTCACACAGCCCTTTCCAAGAGGTATTAAGCGATTTAATATGAGAGACCTACGGGAGTCTTGCTTGGCTGGTAGCAAAAGGTGGCCCCATAGGCCTCATCCGCTGGTACGCGCAGCCTGGCACATGTCAGCAAGTCAGAGCTATGGGGCCTCCTTTGGCTGCTAGCCGAGAGAAACCCTGTAAGCCTTGCCAACAAAATGTGGCTGTTATGCGGTGAATTGGAAGAGTGACATCTTATTTATTTATTTACTACATATATATGCCGCCCTTCTCACCCCGAAGGGGACTCTAAGCGGCTTATCATTGTTTCAGATTTGTGCGCTGTTTTCTTTGGACTTCATTCTGGTCTTGATGTAATACAATTAAGACACAAGGAGTCATTATGATTAAATGACATTTTTTTTCCTTTAATGGGCATGGAAAACAAAATAAAACCATCAGACAGTGAATGTAAAGCCCTTACGTTAAACATTTCGTAGATTGGGAGAGTGACTGCTGTCTGCCTGTGAGCAAGCTCACTCTTAAAGGGGGAAAGAAACAATGGGATGTCGTTGTGAGAGTCTACTACAGACCTCCAAGCCAGATTGTGGACCTAGATGATGTCTTCTTAGAACAGATGACCACACATTCACAAAGGAGAGGTGTAATAGCAATGGGAGATTTCAACGACCCTGATATTTGTTGGAAAACATTTCTGCCAAGAATCTCAGGTCCAACAAATTATTCACTTGTCTTGCAGACAATGGTCCAGAAGGTGGCAGAGCCAAGAAGGGGATCAGCTATCTGATCCTGAGCAACAGTGATGAATTGGTAAATGGGGTGGAGTGATCATGTTCTGTTAGTTTGTTATGCAGTGGAAAGAGGAGGTTAAGCATAGCCAGACACGTACTCTGGATTTTAAGAAAGCTGATTTCAGTAAACTTAGGGAAAAATTGAGCACAGTGGACTCCTACCCATCAAGAACTCCTTCCTCTTTTAGTATACCTGACCTCTTTGTCAGGGATACTTCTTGACATCCTGAGGAGTGAGGTTGAATGGGCCTTAAGATGCATTGCTAACAACAAGGCAGCAAGAGACGATGCGATCCCAACTGAACTGTTTAAAATCTTGAAAGATTATGTTGTCAAGGTGATGCATGCCATATGCCAGCAAATATGAAAAACACAAGAATGGCCATCAGACTGGAAAAAATCAACTTATATCCCCATACCAAAAAAGGGAAATGCTAAAGACTGCTCAAACTTTTGTACAGTGGCAATTAGTTCTCATGCCAGTAAGGTAATGCTCAAGATCCTGCAAGGAAGACTCCAGCAATAAATGGAGAGAGAGTTGCCAGATGGACAAGCTGGGTTTAGAAAAGGCAGAGGAACGAGAGACCAAATTGCCAATATCCGCTGGATAATGGAGAAAGGCAGGGAGTTTCAGAAAAAACATCTATTTCAGTTTTATCGACTATTCTAAAGCCTTTGACTTTGTGGATCATAATAAATTGTGGCAAATTCTTGGTGGTATGGGGATACCAAGCCACCTTGTCTCTCTCCTGAGGAATCTGTATAAGGACCAAGTAGCAACAGTAAGAACTGACCATGGAACAACAGACTGGTTCAAGATTGGGAAAGGCGTACAGAAGGGTTGTATACTCTCACTCAACCTATTCAACTTGAATGCAGAATACATAATGTGATGTGTGGGGCTTGACGAATGCAAGGCTGGGGTGAAAATTGCTGGAAGAAACATTAACAACCTTAAATATGCAGATGATACCACTTTGATGGCTGAAAGCGAGGAGGAGCTGAGGAGCCCTCTAATCAAGATGAAAGAAGAAAGTGCAAAAGCTGGGTTGCAGTTAAACATAGCAACAAGACTGATTGATAACTGGAAAATAGAGGGAGAAAATGTAGAGGTAGTGACAGACTTTGTAT